TGCATGTGGAACAGTTGACAGCAGTATCCTAACATTCTCCAATGTTAAGGCTAATGTTGTGGCATGTAGAACAAAACTTCTTTAACTGTTTCTGCGATTATATATTACTTAAAGTTCAGTTTTTCTCATCTTTTGTGTTTTACTTTGGATTCATCAGCAGACATAACATAAGTCATAATTAGTCGACTAAGTAACCAGGAAAAGACACAAACGCATTATTTAAGGTCATCATAATAACCTTGTTTTCTCTTCCTTGAGTCATTTTTGCTCTACCTCTCTCCTCCTCCTCCCTCACGGTATTCACAGGTTCCTGTAACTACAGAATTGCTATTAATTCATAATTAATTAATAAATCATATTATTTGTTTTAAATGAAATCTATTTAGGCATAACTACCTCAAATGCTACTAATGAAGTTGTTTCAAACACTGCTTTTTAACAGCTGGTCTGACAGTACTTACGTAGATTATGGTGTTGTCCGCCCCGTTGCCCTCTTTCCCTCTGCTGTCTCTGTACCATACTTCCCTTTTACTCCTTAAAGATGCAGATAACCAAGTCTGATTTTTGGTTCGATTTTTTTTTGTCCCGAATGTGATAAAGTGCCTGCTCCGTGTGTGATCTTATTTGGTTCCAAAGACTTAAAACCTGACTGAGTTAGTAGTTAAAGACTCGAGACTTTACTCATCTTGAGATATGATCATAATAATTTATATTCAATGCTTTTAGTTAAAAGAAATAAAATAATTATCTATGTCATATTATTCATGATGTGATTCCCTATTGCGTAGAAGTAAATAAAGTAAATCTTGTTTTAATTGAATTGAAAATAAATATGGTTTTAAACAAAAAAGCTAACACACATTTAGTATTATTATTAGTATTAAAATGTTAATGAAGTATTTGTAACAGTGTGTGAGTAAATATAGTGACAAACAACAGTCTCATCGTTTTTTTTCTAAATTAAAAACTATATGAAGTTGCTGAGGTAAAAAGTCAATGATGTAAATTTTGCTTTAAAACTATTAATTTGAGTGTGCGTTTGAGTGGACTACAATCAGTCCGATATTAGAAACTGAAGTTGTTGTTTTTTTGTTTGTTTTTTTCAGGGGGGTGTGAATGTTTAATGAGTAAAGCTGCTCAGTGGTGCTAATATAGAGCTTTTATTTCCAACTTGTCTAAAGATTATCACAGGTTACCTTTTTTTTATTGAAAGCAAGTGACCCTAATCCCATTTAGTAGTATGAGTTCAAACAATTTTGGTTGGGCTTGGATAAACAACTATTGTGTGTTACATAAGGCTACGTACTACAACGGTCAGAAAAGTCCAGTGGGAGGCGTCAGCTCTGATTTTTGAAGCTGGTCTGTGTTGCATGCACTTGGATAATGTGAAGTTAAAAGCAGATAATATTTTAAAAATGAATGGGATAAAGTCAACAAACAGACAAACATAGTTAACATGCCTGTAATTATGGCATGCTGTGAAATATAGGTATAAAAAAAATCTTGATTTAATTTCCTCTGTGGTCCAGTATATCTGTTATAAAGAAGTAAAATAAAGTATACATTTTTATAATGTCAATCCTTTTTTTAAACAATTTTAAAGCAAAAGACATTTTTATCACAATATACTTTAAAGCAAAAGACATTTTTATCACAAAATAAATGCCCATCACAAAAAAAAACCAATTTTTATTATAAGTTACATTTCTTATGTTGTGCTTTAAACTATTTTTGTCTTTGGATTTGGGGATCTTTATTACCTACTTTTTTTTCATATGGTTTTCTCCCAAAAACCCTAAAAACATGATTTTTTTTTTTTTTATCTGTCCCTTTGGTGCACTGGTGAGCTGGGTGTTCCCTCCAGTTTCTCAATGATTGCTAGGATTTTCTCCAACTCTCCCCGTAACCATGAAAATGACTCACTCAGTCGTATATGAGTTAATTAACTCCTGTGATAATTGTGACATTGATAGATATAGAATAAAGAGTAATACAAAAACTGGGTTATTTTCTTATTTTTTTAATTCAATTATTTTACGAAAAAATTCTGTTTATGGTCTATATTAGATTTCAAATAACGGATCAGAACTGTTCCGTTATTTTCATACTTTTCAACCTTTGAGTGAAATGAGCTGCGTTTTCTTTTAAACATTTTCCTCCTGTTTCCTTTCAGGTAACATTTTCACAAACAAGGACGAACACTGCCCCCTGCTGCAAAATTGGTGGATCAGACAACAGAACGTTGTCTGACTGTGGGGTATAGACACGAAATATAATAAATAGATACATGTGTTTTGTTTAAGGCTAGATACAGACATAAAAGCTAGATTAAAGAAGATTAATATACACTATTGATATGACAACAGACAAATCTTCATCACTGTCAACACAATTTTTAAACACACCAATGGGAACTATTTATATAAACACCAATCGACAAACCAGTACTGGAAATGAGACAGAGAGATTTAAAAAAAAAGGAAAAGGAGAAAAAAATTAGATATAATCCAGAGATAATACTTGCTAATAAAAAGGGAGATAAGTTTAAAAAACACACTATTAAAATATGTCAAACTCATTTTGTTTCAGGGGCCACATAGAAACGAATTTGATGTCAAGTGGGCCAGACCAGTGCGATCATAAAATAATTGCATAACCAAGTGGGCCAGACCAGTGCAATCATAAAATAATTGCATAATTAAAATGTTTTCATGCAAAGAAGTACAAATATATCAGATAACTCATAACTCATTCATAACTCATAACTCATTCATATAATATAATTTTACAAAAAATTCCCTATACATGAAGTATGGTTGTTTGTTTTTTTTCGAAGATTCAATTGAGACCCCAGACGGGCCAGTTTTGGTCCACGGGTCGTATGTTTGACACCCCTGGTTTACAAAAACAAGTCAGTTTCACTTTGTCTTTCAAAAACCAGCATTCAGATCCAGCGTTTCAGTTCAGAGAAAATACTCTTGTTATATAAACATGGCTATATATACAGACATATATACATTACAGCCCTTTTAAGCTAGCGACGTTCTATAAAATCAACAGAAGCAACAAAAAGTTTAGCCTTCAGACTTCTCATTCCATGGGCTTCACATCTCTTTAATCACACTGAGCCCTTAAAGGAGAGACAAAACACAGAGAGAAATAATAATAACAACAACAACAATAATAATAATGGTCTTATTAAGTGTGTCTCTTAAACATAATTCTATAAAAAAAAGAGAGATTAAAAAACTCTAAGAACTCCAGTTTGGGAATTCCCACTTGTTTATTTTTGTGAAACACAGTGATCGATGAAACTGGCGTGATCGGTCAGGAAAGCTGTAAAAACTGCGTGTGAACCAAACTGCAAGTGATTTTGTGTCAATAAGGCTTAAAGTGTCTTCTTTTATCTCTGCAAACACACACACACACACACAACAGAGTCACTGAATTCAAGCACACACGATTCAACGCAGAAGAAAGGAAGTAGCCTCCACGGGAATTTTAAATTTGCCTCCATGTCTTATCCTTATTGAAGTAATTTCCCTTCTCGGGAGGCAAGTCTCTGAACGTACATATTAAGGAATAAAAATAAAGCGAGAGGTGGAGGAAAAAGAAAAGAAAAGTGAGAATTAGTGCTGTGATAAGCACAGCTTTAAACACATGCGGAAATATAACCTAACCAGACAAATAACGTACAGTTTAGGGTTTTTTCCATTGTTTACATAGGGAAAATGGCAACAGTCAGCTCTCATTTTCTATTTCAGACCAAAAAAAAACACCATGCCTTAAGACAGTTATTAAAGTAAATGGCACACACGATGCTGATACATGAAACCCAGTTAACACAGGATCAGCCTACCTTCTCCCGCAGATCACGCGCATTTAGTGAAACGATAAAAAGAGATATGTGTGTGTGCGCGCGCGCGCGTGTGTGAGAGAGAGAGAGTTGAAACGATAAAAAGAGATATGTGTGTGCGCACGCGCGCGTGTGTGAGAGAGAGAGTAAAAATATTTTTATGACTTTAATTACAATAGAAATAACGACAATGGATTCTCGTTTCACGGTAAAACAGAAAATTAAAAACAAACATCTAAACACAATTGTATTTTTAATTTTAATCTGTTTGCCACGGCAAATGACATCAAAAATGAATGAAAGGCAAACATTAGATTTTACTGCCAAAGCTAAAAGAAGGACACGAGCAGGTTGCACTGAAATGACAAAAACAGGCGAGTAAGGCACTTTGCTAATTCGCAGGTTCCTATTTGATATTATCATCACTTCTTCTCAGTTTACAGGAATGTATGCATACAGTCCGGTGCAAAAAAAAAAAAAAAAGATGGTGTCTGCATTTAACTTATTTGTATTCTTTTTAATTAGTACGATAGCAAATGTAAAAGACCAATCGCTTATTCCAACTACATCGATCATTTTTCCGGCCATGCTTGCTGTTTTCGTTCATCGTATTAATGTATTCATTAGTAAAATTTCAAATGTGGTTTGGAGCTCTCTCTCTGCTGAAACTGTTATGGGTGGGGTCGGTTCCCCTCGGCCGGGTCTGGCTGCCCCTCCCACATTCGAAGTACTGTAGTGGGTGTATAGTTGTCGAGTACAAACTTCTAACTCTCTGCTTTGAATTCCTGTGGGAGAAAAACGAGGTTAAAAATGTAAATGTAAATACCCGCATAAAACCATTGCCCAGTACTGTGTTTTCATGTAGACAGCGATTTTAACTCACAATCACTTGGTGAAAAACTGTTCTTTTGTTCAGATTTAATTTAGTAGACACAAATAACACAATAATAGTAAAAGTAAGCAAAAAGACATTTCTTTTGCGTTTTTGGTCAGTAGACGTTTGATTACATTTTTTAAATTAATGGCACTCGATACTTTCTATGCGGCGATATGATTACTGCGCAAACTCAGATATAGCCCTGAGTTTTTGTTTACATCTGATGCTGTAGCCACGCGGTGATGACGTAGTTCCGTTTCCTAAAGCTACGCCTGTTTTCAGCTGTCATTACTGAGACTTCGCCCAAAGACTGATAAACTATAAACTTTGTTTCCCGTATATTTTTAATTTTAGCACGCTTATGAGCATATCTGGCTGCCATTCGTGTATATTGAGATAAATATTTAGACCATTACGCTCTAAATATTTAAAGGATTAAAGTGTATAGATAAGCTCCGCCCCAACCGTGATGAAGGCGCGAGCAGAAAGGAAACAGCTGCACACGGTAACGCATTGAGAGCAGAACTTCTGCCGTTGCAGGCGGGAAAAGTTATACAACAGCTCTGGGATTCGAGTTTGCTTTAATTAATTAATTACACTCAATCTGGACGCCACAGAAGATTTGTGAACTTTCAGGAAGAAGTGAGGTAGAAACTACAAGCTAATCCAAGATTAACTTCACTCTCATTTCATTCTTACGGTGAAACGCATCCGTCTGTTTAGGAAGAAAATGTTATCGTTTTTTTTTTTTATTTCAAAAGTTGGTAAAATCACAATCGGGTCTTTACTAACCGTTTTATGTGTGAGAACATGGAAGAGAGTTAGGAAACATGTAGAGTTGGGCTTTAGCTGCGGCCATAATGGAGGCCATTCGTTGTTCGCTTCACAATTTCATTCTTTGTATATAAAGTAAGATTACAAATCGATCGTTGACATGCGCATATTTTTCTCTGGTAGGGGTTCAGGGTGTAGTTATCTTTGTGAGAGATTAAAACGCGTCGGTAATTTGTTTTTAGCAGCTGCTGAAACTAAAACTAAGCTGAGCTTTGTTAAAGGTGGGGGTTGGGTCTGAAGACCCAGAAATGTGCTTTTTATTGTTAGTTTCAATAAGAATGCTGTCTAAAAATCTGTTATTTACAGGTTGAACTCAGACTTTGACTCCAGAGTCGCAGATTATTATGAGAGGACAATGGTGAGTGGAGTAAACATACTGTATTTCTGTTTGATTTGAGTCGTAAGATGTCCCAGATCCTGCTTCCACAGTCTTTTCAAACTCTTTCAAGGTCCAGGAAAGAAGTCTTTAAATCTCTAATTAATACAAATACAGCCTTTGAATTTTACAGTAAAATTAAGATTTGACATGTATTTAAAAAAAAAAAGACTTAAGTAAAGTAACCTTTTATTTTTTTGTTCCTCTGGATAAAACCTATTACCTGCTCACATGGACCGCCATCTTGATTCAATATAGTCATTACACTGATTGTTCTCTAAATAAAGTCTGTAAATAAGTAAGCTAAAGAGCCTTCCACTATGAACGGGGGGGGGGAGCAGGAGCAGATAGATGGAGTCCTCATGTGAACCAAGATAAATGACATGTAAAAGTCATGCATAAAGGCTTAAATGCTTTCATCATTTTCTACGCCATCTATTGTGAAAACATGGGTGTTGCAGGGAAAAGGCAGAGGTACAATGACATAAATAAATTATATAATTTGGGAAAATTTGGCGAGCCGGATCAGAAAGCTGAACCGGCCGCATCCGGGCCCCCGGGCCTTAGTTTGCCCATCCCTGCACTAAACAGAACCTTCAATAGCGTTGAAGTCAAACCCACAACACAGATTTGTGTTTTCAGGGAAGAAACAGAAGCATCATCTGTTACTCCCGAGGAACGACGTGGATCGAGGAAGAGGAAGGCTGACGTCGCCATTGTAAGTGTCTTTCTGCCAGAGAACAGAAATACAAAAAAAAAAGCAGGACTCGCAGTGACAGCCAGTGAGTTCTGACATTTCGTACTTTGTACTCCTCAGTATCTACAGGATGTGGATGAAGATGTGGCAGACATGACGAGGAAGAAGCAGCGGGACTCTGAGGTAGATGTCCGTCTCTTTTGGGTTTTTTGGGAAATGATGATTTAATTGTTGCCTTCTCTTTTCTTTGTACCATGTTAGTGTCCCATATGTTTCTGTTACACTTTATTCTTTTGATAAATCTCAGTTTGTCACGTTTCCAACGATACACCTACGTTTCTCTGGGTGTCTACATAATTTCTCCTTCTTTCTTCTCCTTCTTCGCCTGTGAAGCTCGTCTGGAGCCCTGCTGCAGGTCACAGAAGTCCTCACGGATGGACAGACAGCGATCAGTCCATAACTTTGAAAAACGCAGGTTTTCCCCTCTACAGCTTTAACCAAATATTTACCACCCCGGTACACTGTGCGCCACTCCCTGCTCTCTGGTAGGTGTCTTTTTTTTTTTTTTATTATTGGAATTGGTGTTTGTGTATATTGTTAGACCCATTGCCATTCAAATCTGATTAGGGTTGTTTGATTATGGAAGAAATCTTTTATTTTTTTTATCAAATTAAAATCATCATAAATGAACAACAAATGTTATATTTTATTACATGTAATGTTATTGGGGGTTTTTTTTATTTCCTAAGTCAGTGGTTCTCATTTATTTTCTGTCTTGCCACACCCTCTGACCCACACCCCGCGAATTGAAATACTATTGAGAACCTGATAACATAGATATATATCTCTATATATCTATCTATATATATATATCTATCTATCTATCTATCTATCTATCTATCTATATATATATATGTATATATATATATCTATCTCTGAACAAACAACTATATGAGTTGCTGCCACCTAGTGACTGTAGGCTTGTTATCGATCAAGCATTACAGCAGTGGTACACTTATATTCGTGGACAAAATTGTTGGGTGACTTCTTTTGTTAAAGAAGTCACTGAAATAATTTCAAACTGAGTAATAGTAAAAGTAATAGTAGTAGATAGTACTAAATAATTTTTGAATTGTGGTTCAACAGAATCATATCAGGACATTCTGGAGTGAAATGTGCTACCCAGTCTCAGAAAGCAGGTCATGGGTCCCCCAACAGGATAATGACCCAAAACACACAGCTAAAAACACCCAAGAATGGCTAAGAACAAAACATTAGACTATTCTGAAGTGGCCTTCTTTGAGCCCTGATCTAAACCTGTTGAACATTTATGAAAGGAGCTGAAGAACACACCCTTCAAATCTGAGCCAAAATACCTGTCGACAGGTGCAGAAGTCTCACTGAGAGTCACAGAAATCACCTGATTGCAGTGATTTCCTCCAAAGGTTGCGCAACAAGGTTGTGCAACAAAAAAAGTTGTACCATCATTTTTTTGTCCAGGCCAGTTTCATTATTTTGTTTTTTAAAATGATTCTGTTGAACCACAATTGCAATGTCATAGTCAATGTCTGATTTTCATTAATCAATTTTCAGTAAGTTTTTATTTATTACTACTTTTGTCAGTTTCAAGTTATTTCAGTTTTTCTTTCTTTAACGGTAGGGTACCAACAATAACTGAAAGTATAATATTTAAGTACAGCAAAAAAAAAAACTCAACTCAAAACTTCCATAAACTTTAAATTATATTTAATAAGTTCAAGTCTGTAACTCAACCCCAGGACAGTAAGGCCTGGTCCATTAAAAGCACAGTGCAAGAAGTCAACACACAGTAAATACTGGTGGGACTTTATTGATAGTTGTGAGCCAACCACATAGTTGTGGTTTGACTATTTTGCCTCTTTCTGTTTCTGTATTAGTTGGCTATAAAACACCTGGTGTTTGAACTGTGGTCAGTTAAAGAACTGCATGTACAACTGTATTTGTGTTTAACAAATTTTATTTTAATTCTTTTTTTTTATGACCTTTAAAAAAGCTCAACAGGAAGATGTGAAGGAATGTATTACATTTTCTGTTCATCTACAATAAAAGCAGTTCTCACAAACAGTGAGTAACGAATTTAAACAACAATGATTTAAATATTGCTCCAAAATGACAGTAAGTGATTTTTCTTCGTACTTGAGGCTGCTCAAGTACGAAAAAGCAGCTCAACTTGAGTCTAACACAATCAGAAGTGATAAATTGAGCAGTTGTCTTTTGGTTCTTCTGTGGTTGTTGGATGTCTATAACACTAAAGTAACTTGTGTGTCTTCATCCATCAGCTGGGCCAGTAAAGACATGGTTTGGAGCAACATGTTGGCCAAAGATAAAGCATACAGCAGAGATGTTCACGTGATGGACAAACACCCTCATCTGCAGCCAAAGATGAGGACCGTTCTGTTGGACTGGCTCATGGAGGTGAGTCGCCGTGTGACGCTCAAACAGAATTGAATCTTTTAGACCACTGACCTAAATATTATGTTAAAAATGATGCATCGAAAAGGTATGCTGAGCCACTGAGAAGTATGCACTTTTACTGTTTTTCATATTTGGCATGAATCGCTGCCATGTATGTGAATTTGACAATATTTTGGTAGTTTAGATGTTGTGATGTATCCTAAACAAAATGTAATGCGCTACATACATTATTGCAGAATCAGTGTATTGTGATACTATTGTTATCAAGGGCAAAATATTGTGGTAGTATCATAACGCGAGCTAGCTGGTGATAACCAGCCCTAATGTTTGTATGTTTGTAGGTTCAGTACCACAACTCCAAAACATGCAAGATTAGGGATTTAACGATACGTCAGCTCACAATATATCATTTGGGTTTTTTTTGTTTTTTTGTTTTTTCTTTCTTTCTGGTTCACAACTTCTGACCACATACCATAATTCTTTATTTGTAAGAACTTGTAAGAAGTTGTTCTCCTAAATAACAGAATACAAAAAAAATGCACAAAATTCTTTAGAGAAACACTACACATCACCATTTGAAAAATCGACCTGATCTTATTTACCTCACTTAAATAACAAGATAAAAAGTATTCTGAAAGAGTTAATGTCTTTACAGAGAAAAAAAAGCACGGTTTGTCTGTGTAAGAAGTTCACATTCTGTTTGAACATCTGAATGCCATGGTTTAAAAGCAGGTCACAACGTTTTTAGGTTGCATACCACCCACTGAGTGTGTTGTCTCATGGTATCGTTACTGACTTTTTGAGAGAACGCAGCCTCGTTTTTTACACCTTGATGCGGGTTTTTTTCCTCATCAATTTACAATGCATTGTTACATCGCTGTGCTGGATACGCATTTCATGCAGGTGCAACCACTATGTCGATCTGTCTCCCCTGCTTTCTTACTTCTGCTGGATACTAGTTCCTGCGGGGTCTCGCGTCAGTACGTGTATTTATACACACTGCTCCCTCTGTTTCTGGTGTACCAAAGTCACCCAATGTAGCTGTGTATCCATATATTTACCATACCCAAAAGGGCCATTGTTAACAATTATGGAGGTTGTACTGGAATTAAAAAGTAAAAAAAAAAAAAAAAAAAAAAAAAACAGGGAGCCCTCTGCCCATAAAATGCAAACTGAGCTAAATAGCTGCGTTAACTTTAAACTCCTAAGCCAACTTATGCTGTATTTAATTTTTTTATGATGATTTACAAACACAATGTCCGTCTTTTCCTGAACTACCAGATTTTTCGTATCAAACATAAAGCTTTAGCTTGGGGTGGGTGTCTGTGTGTTGCTTCTGGACAAAGTGATGGATGTTGCAGTTTTAGTGTCGCTATCCACTCGAGTGCGAAGCATAAGATGGTCACCAGTGTCTCTCCTAGTGACCTTGTGTAAAGCACTCTTAAAACATATAGTAAAAATATAGTAAAAAGCAGCTTTTCTCTATTTCTTTTATTTGGTATCAAAAACAACTTTTTTAATTGGAAAGATCTTCCAAGTTGCTGTACTTTTTTTTTCATTTTTTTTTTCAGATTTATTCTCGAAAATTTAAATATCTGTACTGTCAACTATTACTACCTCTGGCTCTCAAAAGTTCATTTAATCTCACTGATTATCTGATTGGGATTGTCTTACGTAATCTAAGAGAGTTCTTTACTTCCGTTGTGTTCCAGGTGAGTGAGGTCTACCGACTCCACAGAGAGACGTATCACCTGGCTCAGGACTACTTTGACCGTTTCATGGCCACTCAGAGAAACGTATTTAAGTCCACACTCCAGCTCATTGGAATCACCTGTCTCTTCATTGCTGCCAAAGTGGAGGTGAGACCTACTGGACATTGCTGAAACCAGACCAGGAAACTACTGTAATTTTCAACTAAAGACCTGAATTTAATGCGCACCCACTACATTTAAAAACAAAACAAAATTGTATATATACACTATAAGCCGCAGATGTCTACGATGTAACATAGGATATTTATACAGAAAGTATTTTTTATTCACTTGCCTGTAACACGGCTGATTACGCGTTAGCTCTTTCCTGCTTTGGCGCCCCCACCATAGTTGGAATGAACAGGGGAGACTTAATGATCTGCTCCAGGGCCGAAGCTAACATTAGCTGCGCGGCCAACTGCCTTCACTCTGTGCTTGTCCGCAGCAGAGGTTTTAACAGCTCCTGTATAACCAACTGACTCCATGCACATATACTGTACTCACCCAGCCATTCACAGACAGACATGCGCTACTAGGATAACACACAGTAACCTACCAGAAAAGTGATAGATCGCTAGTGGTATGAACTTCCTTAGCCCGTATAAATCCATAAATTAGCCACATCATTGTTTAAGCCGCAGTGTTCAAAATGTGTGGAAAAAAGTAGTGGCTTATAGTCTGGAAATTACGGTATTTTAACATGTACTTTAAAAGAACGGTCAGGGAGAGTTTTGGTTTTAACTGCCCGATGTCTGTAACCCTTCAGGAAATTTATCCTCCTAAAATCCATCAGTTGGCTTATGTGACAGATGAAGCCTGTACTGAAGATGAGATCCTGAGCATGGAGATCATTATTATGAAGGTAAAGCTTTGATCCCTTTTTGTCTCTGGAAAAAAAACTGGGAATTGAACATGAGAAGTTAGAAATAGAAAATGAACAAAAAAAAAAAGTAATTTGATTCTTTGAAGTTTGAACTTTTTTTTTCTTCTTCTTCATCAGGAGCTAAAGTGGAGTCTGAGTCCACACACTGCCATCTCTTGGCTCAATGTGTACCTGCAAGTGGCTTATCTTAAGGAAAAGGAAGATTTGCTGATCCCCAAGTTTCCTCAGGTCACCTTTACTCACATTGCTGAGGTACGTGTGTGCATGTCTCTGTTTTCGCAGACATCTACCGTGATTGCACACTTTTAGTTGTGTGGTGACGGCTGTTACTGGTGAAATCAGCTGCAAATGTACAGAGACAGGCACTCAAAAAGCTAAGGAATCAAACAAAAGGAATATATAGTGTAAAAGATTGTGCACCATAATACACACGCTTCTCTGAGAACCTTGTACAAGACACGTGGTTCCACTTCCAATGCCTGAAATCAGTTATTCAGTAATTTATTTATTTTTTATTTCAACAAAGATAAATACTTAGTGAACCATTTTTGCATTTTTTTTTTTTTATTCACATATAAAATTGTCATGTTTGTAAGAGATTTTATTTAAAAAAAAAAAAGGACAATCAAAAAAAGTAGTAGTAAGTAGCAGGTTGGTTCAAATGCAGAATCTTTATGGTAGATGGTATGGTAGAAATAATATATTTAAATAGATTTTTACCATATTTTTGCAAATTGTCCTATCTGGTTTCCCCAGAAAGAAATTAAATTATACGTCTGATGGGGGGAAAAACGCTTAATTCAAATTTGAATGAGGTAAAAATAAAACGCTCCACCTAAATTACCACCAGAGGGGAGCAGAGAGCCGTAAGACGTACAGCTTCCAAGGAAGCAGAACACCGATTACGTTATGTTGGTGCTGAAAAAACGGTGGAACTGATGTTTTTATTTTCTCTTCTGGTTTCAGTTGTTGGATCTGTGCATGTTGGATGTTCAGTGTCTGGAGTATTCTAACCGCGTCCTTGCTGCTTCCGCTCTCTTTCACTTCTCGTCTCTGGAACTGGTAGAGAATGTTTCAGGTAAGACGTTTGGCACGTCCAAGCATGTTGTTTTTGTCTTCTTCCTGTGCTGTCTGTTTTAAATTGTGCCTGCTGGATTCTTTGTTTCTTATATCACATCTCTTTCGAGAGTTATTAGCCGCTCTTTTCGTATTTGTCTCTCACTCACTTGTGTTCCTGCAGCTTTGAAGCAAGCAGAGTTGGAAGATTGCGTCCGATGGATGGTACCGTTTGCTATGGTTCTGCGGGAACTTGGAGGTTTACCCTTGAAGAAGTTCACCAAAATTCCTTCAGAGGACATGCACAACATCCAGACACACGCCCCCTATGTATCATGGCTGGTAAGAAACCGTGCAAAATCCAGAAACAGAAACAAACCAAAAAAAAAATGGAAATTAAAATTTTTTTTTTTTTTTTTTTTTTTCTTTTGTGATATACTTGGTCTCTCTCAGATATGTAGATGGATATCAGGGGTGTAAGTACCCCTGGTTTTGGCTCATAAGAGTCAATGTTCAATCATCAATGAAGTATAGAAGGATCTCGTGGAAAAAAATGCAAAAATAACACATTTTCAACAGTTTGATCTTATTTTATGTATGCTTATTTAGGATTGAATACTTACTTAATAAATACTTTACTATTCATTTACGCACATGCGGTGTATGAAATACCTGTGTGATGTGGCTTTGCTTTCTTATCTTTCTTAATATTTCCCAGAGAAACACTTTGAGATATTTATTTATTTTCTCTCTTTGAGATTTACTAGAGAGTTATAGAACTATGTCCCTTGGACCTGGTCATTCTGACCATGCATTAACATATGTAAAAAGTGTAGTGTAAATCATTTTACAAATGAATTAGCATGACTATCTCATTAACTTTGACAGCTCGTGTTTGTATAATTTGATATTTTAAAAAAAAAATGACTGTTTGGACATTTATCCGAATTCATTTTTCAGTTTTAACTTTGTGGAAGGAGTTTAGAATAAAATCTCATGAGCTTCAGTTTAGTTATTTGGGTTCAACAGAGACTGAGTAAATTCCCCCTCACCGTTCTGTTTTGAATGATAAACAGAGGAGCTTGAATGTTCTTCTGGATAGTTTCATCCCTTAATGTCTGTCTCATCAGGAAAAGGCAAGCTCCTACCAGGTGGTGGATCTAGAGTGTCATAGCAGCTGTGCCCTCCCCTCAGGCACCCTGACCCCGCCCCTCAGCAGTGAGAAATGTGAGGATCTGGACCGTCCAGACAGCACAGTGCTCAACGTCAGGCCTAGGCTGCAGACTACGTCTCTAAACACGTCAGACCCTCAGAGCTGCTGACGCACCCAATAAGGAAACACTGGAGTGGATTTTAACAGCAGAACAGTGAAGATGAAGACAAGATGATTCATTGGGAGGAAAAATGTTTAGGAAGAACCTGACTCTGTGATGGAAACTAAATCTATTTCACGTCCTAGATTTTTTTTTTTTTTTTTTTTTTTTCTTTTAAATACATTTTTTTTTGGTCGGTGAACATATAATTCTGAACAATCTCACAGATCCATTTGAAAATAGTGGACCAAAATAGTGGCAGGTTTTTATTTTGGGGGGGTGGGGGCTGCATCTTCAGAAGCTTGAAGGAACAGTTCATTTCTTCACCTCATGTCGACAACCAGACTATGTCAGCTTAGAATCTACAACATAAGCTTCCTTGTGTCTCACTGAGGGAACACTGCTGCTCCAAAACCACTCTCCCTCTCAGCAAAGTCCATGAAATGAAATGATTTTAATGATGATCATTTAAGTTTACAGGGGACAACGCAGTTGTTAATTCACCGCTACCTTCATCACCGTTTGTGTTACTTTGACTGTACCAGTGACACAAGCTGACCCCTACAGGTGGCAGCAGAAGTTTAGCAGCTCCTGTGTATCTGAGTTAATGTCAACAATTTGCTCAGTTAACTTTGTCGTGGGAGAGTGGTGGGTTTACATATATCTGTTCTCTGAGGGAGAGAGATTTATATATAAAGTTGCTTAGATTTTTTTTTTTTTTTCCAGTCGAGTTGCTGACGTATTTTCAAGGAGGATCAGCCTCTTCAGTTGGCACTGAACCTGAATATTTTTTTTAACATCTTATTTTAAAAGGTTTTCAGCCTTATTTTTATATATATATACAGAAATTATATTTCACATTTGTTTCTTACTCTATTTGTATGTCATTTTTAAATAATTTGCCCACAAATCCTCAGTTGGTTCTGAGTGCTGCTAAACAGGGCTAGATAGGTGTGTTGTGTGTAAATATAAAATCCAGGCTTTGCTGTGGTGTTGGTGCCTAGACCTTCTTGAAACATCTTTTATGGATCCATTACTCCTGCAACAGGCGAGTAAATACTAAGTTTGAACTGTTAAATTTATTTTGTGCTAAGCAAAACTGTAAGATTTTGTTTGACTTTATGAATAAATTGCTGCTACATATTTCTATACTTCTGAAAGTTATTTTTATAAATGTTTTTATATAAAACATGAAATGTTAAGTGGGAAATAGTTAAAGAAATAAAGAGAGGGAATTTTAAAAAAAGTTGATAGTAAATTAGAATTAAAATTCATAGCAAAGAGAGGTTAGGTTCAATCTCGGTTACATTTATTTCCCATGAATCTTTATTTGGTTTTATAATATGTGGATAGCTCACAGGACTGGAAAGGATTCATTAAGTGGCTGAATGAATGCATATATATTAAAAAAAAACATGATTATTCTTCACAGTAAAAAAAATACTTCTTGTGAAGTTCAACCAATTCACAGAAGATACGTTTGACCGAGAACGTATGGTACTTGTGTAATTTTGTAAAGAGCTGCTGTGTACGCGCATGCGCACCAGAGCAAGGAGACTAGTGATGGGAAGACCGACTCTTTTTATTGATTCGAATCTTTGACTCTCGAACAGTAAAATGAACGAATCTTGAACTAATCATTTCATTCGTTTTACAGCAGGTGGCGCTTTAGCCCTATTGTGGGCGTTGAAAAGAAGGCTGCGGTTCTCCGACACTAAATACTGAAGATGGTTTGCTTCCGCTGACAAAGTCATTAAAACCATGCGAAAAGCTAAGAAATAAAAACACACCACAATGTGAAGATGAATGAAAGCAAAAAGACCCGAGCTCTTTCACGTGACAAATGAAACGAATCTGCGAGAACGAAGCGAAAGATTAGTTCACAGAGAATGATCCGTTCATAGTGATTAGTTCACAGCAAAAGATTAGTTCACAGAGAGTGATTCGTTTGCAATGAAAGATTAGTTGCAGAGTAATTAGATCGTAGTGAAAGATTAGTTCACAGTGAAAGATTAGTTCACAGAGTGTGATTAGTTCGCAGTGAGTGATTTGTGAGTGATTCGTGAGTTCAATATGAACAAATATTTAATATGACTCGGTAGTCATGAGTCACAAATCTTTCATATGACTCGGGAGTCACGGGTCATATGAAAGATTCGTTCATTTTGAACGAATCACTCGCGAACGACACCTCACTGAAGGAGACATTACAGAAGTAGTGGAGCGCCAAGAATGAACCCGGATGTTTCACAGTGGTTAGTTGTTGAGTTTGTTACGTTGATATTATTTTATGTAAATGCATTTTAAAAAAACGGTAGGAACTCAATAATAACAATAATAATACTGACCCCACACTTGGAAAACAGGTGTGCTTCTACAACACTTAAGTTTGATGGTAGCATGGGAATCGCTCATGGTGCTCGGTTTTCTGCTTTCTTATTGTACTGTAGGCGTGCTATTCGCTACAATATGGAACACCAAAACAAAACATACGAGCCAGCCAGGAGTCGAACCTAGAATCTTCTGATCCGTAGTCAGACGCGTTATCCATTGCGCCACTGGCCCCCATATTCAAACATCTTATGTGTGAGTAGCTATGCTAAACGAGCAGCTGTGCGTAGTTTTTGGGTTGGAATTAAAGCGTCGACTTTCCAGCCTTCTTTCCAAAAATATAAAAAAAAAATTTTAAAAATAAATAAAACCAAATATTATTGAAACAATGAAGGGTTTGAAAGGCACTTTAACTAACTGAACACTTCTACTGAAAGACTCCCTCCCTGGACTTAGAAACAGGATAGGTGTCAGTGAATTTCTGCCAGACAAACAAGCGAAAATGACACGAAATGATTTACTAATGTTTATCTTTTAAGATTAATTCAACGGTGGTGCTAATAGCACATTTTATCAGCATATTATACAAACAATTATACAGCAGATAATACACAATCTCAGCATTTGTCTTTATGTGCATACATTAAAACGTTAACAGCTGCGTTTTTAGACACAAAGCACCATGAGGTTGAGAGGAGTAAGTTTGAGTTTTGGTTTGACATTTGTTTTCTCATCAATCATTATCGTCATCATCATCGTATCAGTAGTTGTAGATGTGTCGGCAGGGTTGTTTAAAAAAGCCATAACGTTTCTCTGATGGCAGGAAACGCAGCTTTGCCAGGTTCTGTCTGTAGAGGGCAGTGCGGCTCAACTTCTTGCGTTCAGCTCTGTGGGCTGTAAGCGGTTGGATGTGGAACAGAGGGATTCCCCCAGCTGCCATACGCCAGGATATGTGCTGCGTCACTGAGACAGGTCTGAAAATGAAGAGAAAGGTAAAATAAATTGGGTGAAAAATATATAGCACAAGGATCCTTTTATTGAAGAAATTTGATCTAAAGATTCAATTTGCAAATCTGCAAAATAATCTAAAGACTAAATTTGTGACAAAGGTGTGACTAAAATAGTCACTTAAATGTAGCTATTACAACTTCAACTTTACATTAAAAAATATATACGTGTATATATACTATATATCTATATAAATATATAGATAGATAGATATTTCATAGATGGAATGAATGTTAGAAAGCTGCTATATTTACTACATTCTGACTCTCTAATGTTAGAAAGCTGCTATATTTACTACACTCATTCCACAACTAAAATCACCTAAAGGTTTCCTCTTCCTGTTCATCGGCGCACTGATCGTCTTCCTTCTTTTCCTTCATAGTCATCCTGCTTCTCATCTGATACACAGACCCGCTAGGATGTTCGGTCAATGGGTCCTCCAGAGGATCCAGCTCATAAGATGACATCAGCTGGTTCTCTGTATGACAGGAACAACATCATCACCATCAATATTATTACCACCTCTGCCACCTTCATAATAGTCAACATCATCATCACTTTCATCACTGTCATGATGATCATTACTCTAACCTGGCAGATTGACAATAATCCATCCTTCCTCCTCAAAGCCCTTCAGCTCCTCCATTGTTACTCCTGCTGCTTCTATGAGCTCGTCCGTGCCCCAAAGAAGATGAGAGAAGATCTTTCCAATCATCTTTGTACCTATGTTATAAATTAATAACACAAATAAGACATCAATTTATCATTTATAACTTTTTAAGTAGCAGTTTACATAGACAAAATAGAATAAAAGTTTGAGGTTATGAGATTTAGACAGACAGATAGATAGATAGCATTTTAGCCTTTATGCATGACTTTGACACATCGCATATCTTAGCCCTGTAAAGCCCGAACCATTAAATAATTGACAGAAAATTCCAATTCTTTGGACTTGGACCCTTTATCGGTCCCTCTGAACTAACAAACAAAAACATTTTCAAATATCATTTTCCATATATGAGTTTCAATTTGTATCATATTTGATACACCACATCACAAAGGTCTCCAAAAATTCCTTTTTCCTGAACAAACAGAAACATAATAAAACACAAACAAATCTAACAAATTTGTAATTCCAAATATAAAAAGTGCTACCATAATGCAGTGATGAGAAAACCACTAATGGAACTGGCTGGATGGAAGTCTGGAAAATATATACTGTATATAATTTATAATATATATATATATATAATATTATATTAGTATAATACATATACAGTTTAATATATATCTTCGGCTTAACCTTTTCAAACATCTTCAAAAACCACATGGCAATCTTGTAGTGTCACTGGAAGGCCCTCTAATGAGTGACTTACTATCCCCTGTTTGATTATCTGCATATGCACTGCATGTATCTGATTGTATACATCTGTTTTTCAGGGGAAAAATATCACACTGTTCACGTGGAGGCCTGTAAAACTCATGGGTTATAGGGTTAGTTTACACGAACGCTCCATCTATCTGTTCCTTGTCAAATTTTAGGACAATTGTGGCCAGTGAGTCAAAAGCTTTGCCCAGGCCTGCACTAACTCGCCAGTTAACTAACACAAAAATGGTTTTGTAGAGTCACACAGAGTGGTGTATCTATAGCTTGGAGGTTCACGTTACATTGCACTGCTGATAACAATCTAGGCTAGGCTCCACCCAGAGAGTTTGAGGAGACTGAGTAAGCCAAGTTTTACACATGTTATGCGATGTTAAGATAGTTTAGGAATTTAAAGACTTCATTTAGACATGCATGTTCAAGAGAGCAGACACTGAAGTAGCCCGGATATCTCTGTGTTGGTTGATGAACCGGCAAAAGGAAATACAGATGTGAAGTACACTCTTACTGGGTTTAATAATTGGGTATTTATTTATTTTACAATATTTTAACGTTACACTATGGGTTATTGAAACGGAAAGTTGACTAGGTAGCATTTATATCAGATTTGCTATTACGTTATATGCAATGAATGCAATGGGTTTTCAAAGTCAACGGGTAATTGTGTTAAATAATAATTAATAATAAATAATAATTGTTTAAATTATTGAGCAGTCATCTACCCCTGCCCCTCCATTTTCTCTCGTCCTCGACACCCTTAATTGTTGCCCAGTTCTATCGCTGCTGTTTGGATTTTTTTTTTTTACAAGCTTTTTGTTTATTTAGTTAATGATACACAATTAAACCCGACTTAAGACAAAAAATAGAATCCCAAAACTAAACATACTAAACAACTTTTACATTTAGGGAACACACTCACCAGCAACTGAAGAAAAGCTGCTGCAAACTTCGGTCCTGACAGTTTTTCAGCAGACTCTTACTTAAAGCTGCAGAAAAAGGTTCAAATCCTTTCTTCTGATTTTTCTCGGATTCACAGTGCTTTTCCTATCAGCACCGTTTCTCTTACGGGTACTGTTTATACCTGTTTAGGTTCTCTGTTTTCCTAGCTTGGGGTTTGTTTTGATCACAGCCTTTACGTTTCACTGAGGCTCCGCCCCCGCCCGAGTGCTTGTTGTTGTTGTTTTGGTAAGAACGTTATTTCACCTACACGGAGAAAACGTTATATTTTCCGATTGTTTGTAACACAAGTGAGTAAATTAGTTCGTTATGGTTAATGGTGGTTCACGCAAAGTTAAATTTAAATTTTGTCCTATGGGGGAATGGGCGGTGTTTGGGCTTTTTCAGCAGAGGGCAGTGTACGAAAACGGATGTAGTAGAGGAAGAACTCAGGAAGCTTGACAAAATGGGAAAGCGTTGGAGGCAAACTTTTTACTTTAGCAGTGTTTAAGGGCGACGTTGGCGTTAACCCGAAAGACAAAAATCGCTGAAAGTGAAGGTAACTACGGTTTATTCATTAGTTAGTTCATTCATAGTAAAATGAACACGTATTTCGTTGTAGTGCAGCAGCTGATTTTTATCTAAAGACTAAAGTTCATTTTCAGACTAAAATGGCAGCTTGGCACGTTGAACTTTCACTATCTACCTCTTTCTGTGCTGCGCAATTACAGTGAAAAACACAAATTTCGAATGAAAACAAAAATTTGGACAGGTGAATACGGTTGAAGAGTTTTCATAGCTTGAAAAGAAAAGTGGACAATTGTTTACAATACGCCGCGTTATAATGTTTTTTAATGTACAACTCAGTCATGTAGAAAATTTAGCCTTTACAAATCAGTGTTTTTATGTCATTTACGTACATGTTTTAAACATCTGGTGACAAACACTGGTGGATAAACACTTGTCATTAGAGCAAGGTCACTGGTTGGGTGGTTTGAGTTCTCTAGGTACTCTAATACCTACACCATGACCAGTCCAAAAACATATGTATGAAGTGAATGAAGAGAGTCAAACCAATAAGGACTACCATAGAGCTGTGATTTGCCAATCTATAATAATTCTAAGATTTTTTTCTTCAACCCCCCCCCACCCCCCCGGGGGGGGGGGGGGGCTTTTGCTGCTTTTGCATAGGGGGGTTTCGCGATGCTGTTACTGAATCCGAACAGAAAACAAAACAACCTGAAATTTTAATGGTGATGCAACACGTGGTAGCCAATTAAAATAGTCTCCGGGCTGCAGCAAACGATAACCTGTTCATGATAGTTACAGAATATCAACACAATTTTATTCCTAAAGCCCAAATTCACAATACGTGTGTTTTTTCAATACATCAATGATGTACTGAGTTTATATTAACAACGCAAAGCAGGGCTAGATAGAGGTTTTACAACTACAGTATTATAAATATTATGGTTGCCGACTGTCTCGTCACAGTGTTAATATTAAGACTGTTTTCATTTTAGGACACTGCAGTTCGGACCTGAGCGTCCAACGTCCTATCAATTGACATGGCTTCACGGATAAACGATGTCATGAACCTTTGCTGTAAATTGTCAGCACACGAACAGATCAAGGTTGCAATAAAAAACTCCACCAAAGGAGCAGTGGTGGCAGGAGGATGTGCATTCTTAGGTGGAGTGTGTGCTGGACCGGCAGGGATCGCTGTTGGTAAGAATGCAGCAATCACAGAAGGTCACAGGTTAACCACTCTGAGTGGCATGAGATAACAAGTCTGAAATAAATGTGAAGGGTCAGTTAGAAATTAACATGTATTATGACATTGAAGATAAAAAAAAATGTCATTACAAGGACAGTTGTAAATTTACAAAAATCAATTTTTAAGGTTATGAGAAAAATTAAGATGAAGTATCCCTTTATTTGTGAACCCAATATCAAAGTTTAACTTCACAAGATGCTCCCTGTTTACTATTCTTCTGTGCGTTTCTCTCATCTTTCCAAAAACCTGAAGATCTTTGATCTTGTAAACATGATTTTATTCTCACAAACTATCAACTCTATTCTCATAACTGTATGACTTTTTTATAAATCTCATAAATGTAAGACTTTTTTTATCGTGACACTAAGACTTTTTTCCTTGACCTAATTGTCATAAACATGCAACTCGAATGTTTGATTTTTCTTTTTCTATCCTTAATGTTGCCGTATTACTACATATGTATAATTTTAATCAGAATCGGCTGTAAAAATAATCAATGAAACAACAAAGAAGACTGAACAGGAAAAGGACAACTTTCACAACAAATTAACAGTAACAAGAAACCATGGAAAAAAAAATGTAAGAATGAGGAAATTAGATATATATATTAGCAAGACAGAATTAGGAATGTCCGATAATATAGGCCGATCAATACGACATGGCAGAAAAGCATTGAGAAACACTGCGCTAGCCTATCACCTTAGTGAGCAGGCTACTGTCGCTATTTCAGTATCGGTTGACATCGGAATCGGAAAGAAAGTGTTTGAATAATATCGGCATATCGGATATTAAAAGTTAATATCGGATATTCCTACAAAAAAGTATTATGACAAGTCGTAAATCGAGAACAAGACAGATCTAAATGTGTGTCACAATGACAAGTAGTTCACTTTCCTTCCTTAATCCCTCATAAATGAACTAATTTAATCTGAAAAAAAATTATATATAAATCCATATATATATATACATACATACATACATACATACATACATACATACACTGCCTGACCAAAAAAAAAGTCGCCACCTGGAATTAACGAGAAATCGAGAACAAGACAGATCTAAATGTACCATATAACCCTTTTTTTTAAAGAAATAACATTACGCATTAAAAATAAAAATAAAATTGATTTTTATTAACATTTCAGCTAAGTAAAACAGTCAGTAGGCTAATTAAAATGCTGCAATAAAAACATGGTTGATATGACAGTAATAGCCTTATTTGTTCTGCTCACAGTGCACTTTTATAAACATTTATCAACAAAGCACCTAATCACTCGTGATCTCTGTCTTTATACTTTTTTTTTTTCAAAAATGTTTTAAAAAAACAGCATGGTCCTACCTAAAAGAAGAGAAAGTGAACTCCTTGTCATTGTGACATAGTGACACACACCTCTGCACACAACGAAATGTGACTTCTGCATTTAACCCATCACCAAAGTGAAAAGTGGGCAGCATTAAGCACCAGGGG